GGGGGTGGGGGGGGTGGGGGGGGTGGGGGGGGGCAGTGATTGTTGTAGGAAGAAAGTGGGGTGTTTGTGATGTTGTGGATATTTGATTTAACACAGCTGTTTTTGTAGTATTCGTAAGGATGGGACGGTGGAGGTTAGCTAGTGGAAGGGCTGAGGTGTTTGAGCCGTAGGCTCAAGGGTATGAATACTCGCAGGTAGAAGTTACAACACCCGAGCACAGCTGCGAGAGAGCATCCATCGTCTTGTCTTGGTGGTGGTCAGTACTGGGTGGGCGGGATTGGGAGGAACGTTTTTTTCCATTTGGAAGAACCAGTGATTTGTTATTTATGTGGTGTTTTTTCCGACAGGGCGTCATGCAAAACTTTGCATTACTTTCGGCGACACCTTTTCCCGCCATGCTCCCTCGCTTTTACCATTTATGATTAATGTGTTATTGTGGTTTCCCTTGTTTTTAGGCCTCTCCAGCAACTCCCGACTCGCCGTGTTCATACCTACAGCTGTACCACACCTGGCACCGGTGTTTTTGTCTCTTCTTTTCTGTTCTTCAGCAAACCTCTTCTATTGGCGGTTGGCTGGATTGGCAAAGAGAGAAGGTAGGGAGAAGTTTTTGGCATTTTTTGTGGCAAATTCCGCGGTCGGTGTAACGTATTAATCGTGTGCGTCCTTTAGTGGACAAGACTATATATCTATTCTGTTAGTTTCTTTCCTTTCCGGGTTGGTGTCTTTGCTTCACAAGCAAATCAGTTTTTGTTTTTTTTGCTCACATCTCTTGGATTTTGTTGCAGCTGGGCACGGGGTCGAGGAAACCGCGCGGCTGGGCCGCTGTTGATTCCGCCGCGGCTGTAAAAAGACGGTGAATGTGTTGGTGGCCAGGAGGGGGTCTGTTGGTTATTGCAACCGTTCTCTGCGACATTGACGGGGGTATATGCATGCAATATTTGATTGATTGGTGAGAAGGGGGGTAAATGCATACAACATTTGATTGATTGGTGGCCAGGAGAATACCATGGAGCTCGCAGATTCTGAACCGAGCATGCGCCGTAATGGTGGTGGTTGCGGCGCGCTCCCTTGGCTTGGGGGTGATTGTGGCTATGCTATCGAGGGATCGCGTATTTGTTGAGGGATTGCGTGCCGATGCTGCTGCGTGCGCCCTTTGCTACCCATGGCGGGCGCGGACGCGAGATCAGGGTCGTCCGGCAGCTAGCTCTAACGTTGGTGGTCGAGGTAGCGACTGCGCATGGTCGTAGCTTAGCCCAGCGCGGTGTGTGTCGGAGAGGCAAGTAGCAATGTTGGACAGGGCCGGCCTCTTGAGGCTGGACATCGCTTGGGCTGTTTTTTTTTTTGTGTGTGGAGCGTTTAGGGGTGGTGACACGCACACGCACGTTTGCCACAACATCCTTATGTAGCCGTCCGTGTGTATCCTGAGTAAGACACTGCGTGGGAGCTGTGGTAATGCCTTCGAGGCGCTTGTATAGCGTTGTGGATTGCGATAGACTGCCGCCTCGTTTGCATACCACTATGAAGTCCACGTGCCATGAATGATTTTTCGTCCGATCCGTAGTCTAACGCCTTTGATTTGGGGGTGGATTTTTGCACAACAATTTATTTCATGCATGCATAGACAATTAAATGTATGAGACGAATGCACCGTTGTCTACTTTCACCGCTTGCAAGTTGACAAAGTACGTACGGGTCGCACGACTTTGCCGCTGGTCCAACCGGAGAGCGTTTCACGGGGTGGCGGGGGTGGGCATAAAGTTGCTTGGTGTCCAGGCTGAGGCACTCTGTTGTTGCGGTTATTTTAGTGGTGGGTGCCGGTGCCGTCCGTGGCTTTGTGGTGCGAGGTGATGAGGTGAAGCGGCCAGTTCGATATTGTTACCGCCTGCAGGCACTTTTCCGTGAGTCTCGCACCGGAGAAGCTGTGTTTGCACGCAGCGTCATGAAAGCACGTTTTCAGACATCCGTTGATGATGCCCAGAGCTGAACTCAAATTCTTGGCGACAAAAAACACTGCTGCTGCGGGGGGGTAACCTTGAGGGCTGTCTGGTCCAACGGAGCGCTGGATCCGGCGAGCAGAAGCCCAGACTGCGTTCCTCCAAGGCGCAGACATACAGAAATGACTCCCATCCTTTGCGGCGAGAACGTCGTCTCCAACGGCACCGTACCACTCATTTACAAGTTGCATCCATCTCTTGAGATAACTAAGCAAGGGCAACACGACGGATGTATTCGTCGCTATGACCGCGACTTTTAGCATTGCCTTCATGTGCTGGTAGTTGGTCTTCATCACGAAGGATATGTGGCGCCAACGATCACCAGGCGAAAACATGGCCGCTGTGCGGGAACACTCTTTCAATCACTTCGGCCTTTCTTGTGTGAACACCTGACACACCAGAGCATCACGGTGTACTGAACAGTTGCCTTGCAGCCGCCTCACCACGATGTTTGAGGTCGAGAGGTTCCGCAACAACAACGTCACAGGCATGAAGCATGGGCAGCACATACAGCTGGCCTTTCGAAACTCGAGCATCAAGCGCAACCTGCGCCGGTGTTGTTGCCCGTTTCGTCGTTCCGCCCTATGCCATCACCCTTGAAATTGGTTCATAATCTCGTCTGCGTATCCCCGCACCGTTCCGAAGATCAGCGCTACGATTGTTCGCTTTTTCCGATACCCTCGTCGCCTCAAGGTAAAGCAACCCGTGCGGCGCCTCTTGGGACAAGCAGCGCAAGAAAAACGCGGCGCAGTCGACACCGCTTCGGCAGGGGACTCTTATCTGGCGCACGCAACCAGCAACTGCCGCTCTTCCACGCTACTACGAACTCCGACAAACCCAATAAACGAAGGCCATGCTCTTTGAGGGAGCAAACTTCACGAAGCAAAAGCCGTCATCCCCGCGGGGTATATCGAGCAGACATCAAACACGACGCTCTGCTGCTGCTGCCGTTGCCGCCCCCCCGCCGCGAGCAACACCCTTGCCCTCGTCTCCTGGCAATAGGAAGAGGCGCCACCCCTTCGCCGACCGGCCTCTCCTTCCACGCCACCGCTACCGTCACCCCCGTCTTGCTCCTGCTGCCGCTCCCGCTGCCGTTCCTCCGCCGGAGATTCTCCTCTCCCTTCCTCCAGCAGGGCCTCGAACCCGGCGTTCAGGTGAGTCGTGTCGGGATCGACCCCGCCCACCGCTCGAAACAGCGCCGGCCCTCGCTCGGGGCCGGCGGCGGCAGCCGTTGGAGAACCGTCATCACCGACGTGATTCTTGCCACGGGCATCCTTAGCGTAAACGCCGGCTGTTGCTTGCGCCTCCGGCGGGGGTTGACGACGCCTCGGACCAAGCCCTGCCGTCGCCGGCTTGCTTACACCCCCCGCGGCTCCACATGCGGAAGCAGCAGTAGTGTCGGGCAAGCGGCGCGCTCCCCCATCACTCCCGTCGTCATCGTCGTCGTCATCGTTGCTGTTGTCACCAAGGTTCCTGCCGGCCGTGCAGGCGGACGCCATCGCCAGGGCCAGGTCGGCAAGGGCCGAAGGCAGCACGTGTCCGACAAGCTCAAGCACCTGCGCAGCGGGAAAGGTGTGCATACACACACATGAATGGTTCATAAATAACTCCAGTCGGCAGGGGTCACTGCACCCCCTGCCGCCCCCCGCGCGCTCTCGCTCACAGGGTCTCCGAGCATTCACCAACCATTTGAACCACGGAGCAACGATAAACGGGTATACGTATGTCCTGCTGCTCGCTGGCAAGAGGGAATCCCACCCACACAGGGATCTTTCCCCCCTTCGTCCCCGGGGTTAAGAATGTCGCCCTGGGTTGGCGACAAAGAAAAACGATGCAAATACAAACATACATGCTTCAAGTACATACAAGTACAATTGAGGACGAACCCCTGAATATATATAATAGCAGAGAACTCAAACGAGGGGAAAATGGCGCGTGCTGTCAAAACAAGCGTCAAAGGAGCTGCTACTGAGAGGGCCTCCGCCTAGGGCAAAGGGGCACCGCCCCTCCAACAAGCCACGAACCCAAGTTATTTTTTCTGCAACACATAAGAGTACACTCCAAAAAAAGGAGGAGTTTCGTTCCCGACTAACAACGTTGCGCTGCTGTGCTGCCTCCCTTCCGTACGCCAGACAACTATAACTCTGGCGAACCTCTGCACACCCGTGCCTTGTCGGCACTGATCGTGGAAACTTGCAATCTTGGCGCATTGTTTTCGGGGGGGCGGGGCGCAGGAAACTCAAGCATTTCCGTCCGTCCCACAACCGAGTTTTGTTTTCTAGCACTTACAAGTTTCGAACCGCAAAGATTCACAACATGTTGGTCATACTCAAAACGATGAGCGTTCTGGCCCAAACCCCCTCCCACCTGGACTGCCGAGTCTTGTCCCGCGCTCACTGTGGCCCTGGATCGGTGCATGGGCCCTTTCTGCCGAACCTGGTCAACGGGGGGCAAGGGACAACGTTCGTCTGTCATTCAGTATCACCGCTCGGCGGGTGTTTGCTTCGTGCTACAGGTGCATAGGGCTGCGTGTGGGAACATTTAGTCTCAAGAGAAAGGTTTCGGGAAGATACGACTCGTGTTCGGTTTCAGCGAGAGAGCACATGAACATTTTTTTTTGTTTTTTGTCTTCACTTCAAATCAGCGCTCACAGCACTGGTGCCGTTTACTCCAACCCGTGGTCACACAGAAGGGCCCCTCTCTTCCCTCCCCTCCTGCGGTACGTTGCCTTCGATTGTTAATGCGAGAAGCGTTCAGCACTCTTTTCCCTCTGTGTACACACGAACTAGCGCTATCCATTCAGCTAGGAGCGGAAGCGAGAGAAAAAACTCACTTTGCAAGAAAGCTTGCTTACGCCGGGATTCAAACCCCCGACCTGACCTCGAGAAGGTTTCGAGGATACCAACTAGACCACAGGGGAGACCGGCTAGAACATGGATTTGGTAAATTCATTCGTCGACACGCTTCCCCGAAGGCAGCAATGTGCTGAATGGCAGTGGTCCCCATATACCGCGGTGTGACGACAGGCAAAAATCACCGAGTTATATCGAGCTTCACACCATTGGGGAGAAGGTCCCCGAAGTAAAATAGTCTTGGACTAGGTTCTTGTGCCAAGGCTATTTTACCGCGAGATATCGGGAGCCGTGGTATTCGGGACCGCGGTACGGAATATCAGGACCACCACTGCTGTAGGACGGCATTTTTTGTGTTTTTTTCCCGTTCTTTTCGCAGGAGAGCGTGACGCGCGCAGCAGCAGCAGCACCGCAGAATATGTCCCCCACGAGCAGCGCGCTGCTTCAGCTGAACCAGAGCGCCATGCCTTCCGCAGCAAAAAGAAAGGACGGAGCACCGCCTTGCACAAAAAAACAAGAGCACATTCCTTCGACTGCAGTAGCTGTATCTCGAACGGGTTGAGTAGCTTTTCTGTGATTGTACATAATTTTCTCAAAAAGCCATCACGGGAGCGGCGCATCCAACAAGCCATTCTGACGGCAAAAGAATACCAACCCAACGTTGCAACAAGAAAAAACAACCGGTCCGTTGGTGGGTACAGGAGTACACACCTTGAGGGCCTTCAGCGAGGCGTTAAGGAACGGCTCCCGCGAGAGCAAAAGCGGGACATCCCCCCCCGATCCCATCCTGCCGCCCCGGCCGCTCGCGGCGAGCCCCCCACCCCCGACGACGCCGGTGGAATGGCCGCAAGCTTCTAGAAGGAAATCGAAGAGGCCGTGGACGGCCATGTGCCCCCGGAACGTCAGCAGAGACAGCTGGGGTCGGCTCCTGGGGGGGGGGCGTGAAAACAACGATTATTTACATATGGGTATTCATAGTCGTGCATGCCGTAGTCGTTATACCGTTGACCTCGCATCCCTACAAAGCCGGGACGGAGCACGCCGGGTTCTCACCGGACCAGGCTCTCACATCACCAAGCGCAAAGGGCCTTGAGGTATTCGGCGAGTCGCATGATGGGTGCGCTGCATTCTGTTAAGGGTGTTCGGCACCTTTTGCTTACTTCCTTCCATACGGATGACAGCTGCGTATGACTACATTAATTTTCCGGTGCTTTCACTTCCAGAGACAGTTGTGAGCATTGCTGTGCAATTGCCTCGTGAGGAAGTCAGCGAGTCGCATGGAGGGTGCGAGGGTGAGGTGGCGGGGGGCGGGTAGTAACTATTGGTTGCGGTCGCGTTCAGACCATGGCACGGGCCGTCGATGTTTGCCCAATCCCTGGAAGAACAACGCTGTCGGTAGCAGCGGCTCCAGCGTTGGCTGGGCAACGAAACGCTTCAGGTGATGTCAGCAAGTGGCAACCAAGCTTGGGTTTGGCATCACCCACCCCCTTCACTAAAAACGGAGGGCACGCAAGGGAGAGGCGTGGATCCCCCCCCCCTCCCCTGTTTCTACCTGTGGGCATAGGGTGAAGTGCTCCCTATCTCACCCTCCCGTGTACCTTACCATCCCTTCTCTGCAGCCCTTGAATGCGAGAGCTGAATGACCGCATGCGGTAGAGTAGCCCAGCTACAGGGCCGCTCTCTGCTGCTTGTTGACGTCGTACGCGTCGGGCTTTGACACTTGTTTGTTTGAAAAGATGGCTTGGGAAAAATCAGGCCAGAGAAACACTCCCCCGGGCGATAAAAAAAAAAAACAGAGACAACGGGCCAACTACAGGATGGACAACAGGTCAAAAGCAGAAGCGTTGGACATTTTCATGAACGCCTTTACTGCATGCTGTCTTGAAAGGAGGGAAAAAAAACTTTCTCGACACCACCCCTTTCCATTTCAGCTCACATCCAATCCAACCAAACCGCTCCAAGAACGCGCCCAAAATATCCTGACCGGACTCCTTGAGGAACAAGACACAACCTTCTCCACAACGCACCCTTGAAACCTCCCGATCAGTTCATCACTCCAACACTCAACAGGGACCCTCAAACCCTCACCGGTCCTCCTCGTTGGCGTAGACGGCGCCAGGCTTAGCGTTGCCCGTCGCGTCCATCGCCTTCCACTCTTCCAGAACGTCTTCGTCCGCCTAAACGCCGGGAGAACGTCGCAGAACGGCTTGGCGGATGTATTTTTCTGTTGTCTTCACTTCAAGTTAGCGCTCACAGCACTAGTGCCGTTCTACTCCTCCCTAACCCGTGGTGGGTGGATGGGAACGTTCGAGTGAGCGAGATCGCGTTGTCGAAGCTTCGGGCATCTACCTTCGGTTGCCAACTGACCCTCTCGTAGGGGTAAGCTAGCCTGTGACCATGGGAATCGACCGGTCAAGTGCTTGATCAGCACGGACAGATGAAGGTACTGGGTAGAGAGATCGGAACGGTTCTTAAAGAGAAGACGACAACAACAACAACAACAACAACAAAGTGAAATTGGAAACACCACGGACAGGTGGACGGGTGGATACACTCATGGCACAGGCAAAACGCTAAAACGTACAAAACGAAAATCGGGTCTATCAGAAGGCAAAGCTCAGGATGGGGGGGTGTAGGGCGCTGAGTTGCGGCAAGAAAAGAGATCGTACTGTATTGTACATTCGTAAAACAAACAGGGTTCAGGGTTGGCAAGGCACAGGAAACAAAAACGACACTGACATCAGACAAAGGCGCGTCGGCAAAATGGCATTCGCTTGCGGCGAGTGAGCAGCGTTCTTCCTCACGACCAGTATGGCAGCAAAAGCACGAGAAAACTTAAGAGTGGGTATGAAAGGTTGGATACCAAAAAAAATATCGATGCCGGCCGAGGCACAGAGATGACGAAAAAAAGGATTAGAATGATGCCACAGCACGAGTATTGAGGTGGGGCACGAGTCGTTCGTATCAACACTAACAAGGGCATGCCACAAATCAAGAAGGTTGGAATCATGCATGTACCTCGAACAGGGGAAACAACATTGGCTACACCACCACACCTACGTACGCGACACGGGACTTTGGTGGAGAGAATCAAACCGTCCAAGGAAGGATGAGAGGTGAAAACTTCAGCGGTGACGGGGAAATGGGTGAACCGGGCGGAAAGGAAGGGTAGGAACACGCCCTGACAACCACGTGCTGCTGAACGCGACAGGCCGGAGTCGAGCGAGTCGTCTCTCTACCCTCCACCCAAAACCTTTCTGTTCGCGAAAATTTAAAAACGAAGCCGACGACTACATCTATCAACAACAACAACAACAACAACAACGACGACGACGACGACGACGACGACGACAGCGGCGACCGTAAACGAGAACAGAGAAAAACCCAGGGGGCCACCGCCTGTCACATGACTCGCCTGCGCGTCCCGCTGGTCGCCCGCGGGGTCGAGAGGCATGCCGAACTCGATCCCTGCCGCCGTGAGCCGCTTCCTTAGCCGTCGCGTGGAGCGGGTCATGACCGCCGCTGGAACCAGCCTACGACGCACGCGCGCCCACCACAGGACGATAAAAAAACACTAATCAACCCAAGCGGGGAACTTGGTTGAAAGAGGCGAAAACTATGTCAAAGTTTGGTCGCATTCCCTTGGAAGACTTCCAAGCATGCAACATATTTGAGTATTTTCAATACATCACACCTTAAATAGTTGATGAACTACCTTCACCTTTACACACGAAATTATGAAAACTTTATAACTTTTTTGTAGAATTAAATGCCTTTTTGACACAATATTGAAAGAAGAAGTGGGTTATCCCCGGCTTCCCCGACAAGGGCGAGCAGCGGCTTCCGCGTTGTGCACGTGAGGCAAGGCGCTTTCAACTTCTGTTGTCGGCAGGCGGGTTCTCGGGAGAGAAAATCCGTCCATGCCTTCGCCTTCGTTGAGAAATCATGAGACTCGAGGAGGCGGCGGCGGCGGCGGCGGCGGCGTAGGGGGGAGTCCGTGCAGCTCGTCTCTAGGTTTTAGAGCATGCTTCTTGACTGACCACCTGTCTGATGATGGCCAAGTCCTTCGATGAAGATGAAGTCTTGCGTGGTGGTGCGTTCTGTACATCACGACACAGCGCGCGTGACGCGAACGGATATAAGATACGAAATTCACATAGACGTGCGTACGGCACTCACCGGGTCCCCTCGTCTTCAGCCCCTCCTCGCTCCCGCACGAGCCTCCACGCCACCGTGTACAGAGGGCACTGCAGATAGAACCCTTCTCCCTCCCTCTCCCCCTCGGCAGCAGCGACGGCAGCGGCGCCCCCTCGTCCTCCTCTTGCCCCTTCACCGCCGCCGCGGTTCCTAGAGATGAGACCGTAGTAGAGGCTTCCGAACGCCTGCTCCCAGTCTCGTCGACGCGACCAAAAAAAAGAAGTCCACCTAGATGAAAAAGTAGCAGTTTTATCAACGGAGTTGTGCGTGGTTGGGGCGCGTGCTCACAGGGTGCTTGCGTGAAGCCACTTTGATGATTGGCCACGAATCGTCCCTTTGGAGATGAAACATACAAGCACACACGATGTCGGCGGGCGTCTTTGTCAAGGGTTGATAAAGCGGGAAATAGCGTGAGGTGGGGAAAGGAGGGAGGGGTTGGCTGGTGGGGTCATTCCGCTCCACTGCTCCGTTCGACATCCCACAAAACGTACCAACAACGGCACATGCCACTCACGGCGGCGCACGCTTGTCCCCGGCCGGTCAATCTCGTCGGCACCAGATCCGCCAAACAAACAAAAAGAAGTTTCCCCACGCCGCCGCTTGCACAAGTACGTACATTTCTTCTTGGTACCTTCGACAACAAAAAACACGGCTGCAGGTACTTCGTGCCATCCATCGCCTGACGGCGAGGTCCTTACTGAGACGTGCGTACCCGCTGGCGGCGCTGCCTCCAGGCCGGGCCCCGCTGTCCTGCGCCTTCGTCGCGTGCGCCGGGCTCTTGGCGACCCTCGATTGCGCAGATTTCTGCGCTGCCAAGGCCTCCTGGGGCAGCGGCGTCGCCGGGTGCTCCCAGTACAGAGTCGCCTTTCTCCACTTCTCCATCGCCTCCTCTTCCTTTCTCTCAGACGCCGCCGCCACCGCCACCGCCGCCGCTACCGCTGTTGCCGGAGGCGTCGCCGCCGCCGTCCCGTCGTTCGCCCCTGCTTCATGTCCACCGCGCCCGCGCTCGCCAAGGGTTTCCGCACGCCGCGCACGCCTTCCTCCAACGCTGCCGCCGCCGGTTACGCCCGAAGACCACGCCTGCTCCTCCTCGCTGTCGCCTTCCCCCCCGTTGCCGCCGCCACGCCCAAGCCCTTGACGGGAGACGCCTCCATCTTCGGAGCGGTTTCGCATCCCCAACGACCCCGCGGCGAACGCCCGGAGCGCACGGGACTCCAGGTGCCCCGGCAGACTCCCGATCCCGCGGGGCACCGCCACGCCCGGCGCCATCTCAAACCTTACCCGGGTGCGCAGGGGGAGGTCAGGCGGTGGCGACGACGAAAGGGGGTTGTCAGGGGCCTCGACGTTCAGCCTCGTGCCGTCGGACACGGGTGCGTCTTCTCGTTGGCCTCTTCCTAAGGGGTGCCAGCAGCCGAACTCCCAGCGCGGCTCGCCGGCTCTCCCCGCCGCTGCCCCAACCTGTGGGGTCTCGGCCTGCTGCTCCTCCGGTCGGGGGGGAAACGGGCTCCGCGACGGCGCCGTGGCGCTTCGGCGAAGTCCCTGGGGAAAGGCGTTGAAAAGGCGGCGAGGGCAAGGACATTAACGCTTGGGGTCATGCGTACGTGCTTGGTTGATGATGTAGGGTACACTCGTGGGTGGTGGAGGAAGAGGTCAGCATGCAACAGATCTCGCGTAGGTGAGCATGTTGTATCTTTTTGGCTACCACTGTCTACAAATATGAACTACACGCTATCAGATATGCACCGGCGGAGTGTTTCCGCAGGCAAGCTTGAAGTCAGAGGACAAGATCTTGCGGGAGAATAACGTAGACTTCTTGACTCATACCCGCACACACGTTATACACCCGCCTCCACGATTTCCTTATAGCGTCGATACAAGACAACAAAAATCGCACGTCTATAGCCTCACGCGTACGCACCTCCCGCCCGCCCTCCGGAAACCCCACGCGTGTCTCCGGCACCCGAAAGTTCGACAGTTTCTCCAGGTTTTTCGCCATCCAGTCCTCTGTCGAGGTCTGGTCGACACCCGCTCCTCTAGCGGCCACCCCGCAACCCTCTTCGTCCCTGCCGCTGGCTGCCGGTTGCCTACCCCGCATGCCGCCCAGCATTCCGGACAGGGAGGACGCGACTGGTTTGCCCCCCTCGGCCCTAGCGCCGGTTGCAGCGGCGACTGACAGCCTACTCCTTCCGCCGTTGCTCTCGCCGCCGCCGATTGAGGACTGCGGAGAGCAAGAAGAGACGCCGGACATGACCATGTCGAACAAAGAAGCGCCACCTCCGCCGCCGGTGCTTGCACCGAATGATGATCTTCCTGGATTCGAGTGAAGGTGAAACGATGCTGCGCCTGCCTCGCTGCCAACGTCGCCAACGAGGTGCTCAGCGCCGTCCGCACCACCGACCCCCACGCCCGCCGCCGCTGCCGCGCTGCTGCTGCTGTTGCTTCCACTAGCGACGACGACACCGTTTCTTCTCCCGGCGGAGTGGTACAGCCCCAAGAGGCCTGCTCCAACGGAGTCGCCGTCCTTGTCCTTAGCGGGGGAAGGGGCGAGGGGGTGTCGGGACTCTTCGATGATGCCATCGATTAGCCCGACAGGGTGCCTCTGCGGAGGCGTTACGTTTTGGCGGTCGGGGCGTGACGAGCACGTCGCATCGTCTTCGTTGGGAGGCCTACGAGGGGAAAATGCGGGTGCGGGGGGCGGGGGCATGCACCACGTGGTTCGAGGAAGTGAAGAGAGAAGCAGCGCGCGTCTACCTGTGTTGGGATTGCATCACGCAACGCTTTCTACCAGAACGGCGCATGTGGACAAAGAAACATCATAACAGCACCCTTGTTCCTTGCCGTGCGGCTACAATACGAAGAGCAAGAATTCGAGCGTTTGCCGCGGCGCCCAGACGCTATTGCCTACATTATTATCGTTCGCAAAAGCAAACAGCGGTACGCTGCACTTGTCTTACCCGGGAATGGCGGGGAAGAGAGACTCACAAGCACCATCACCAAATCTGCCACTGCTGCTCTCCTAGACTAGCGTGTTGGGAACTGCCCTGCCGAACGCTTCCTATCATATACCTGTACTAAGCCCTTACATGCTGTGGCAGACGTATCCAAAGGAAGCCTGTCGTAGATTTCCTCGTGGCTCTACAGATCGCCATCATGTTTCCCACCAAGATCACTCACCCTCTCGCACAGTTGATGCTGGGAGGTGATGATGCCGACCTCTTCAGCGGCTCTTTCCCCCCGAGCTCTCCTCCTGCCCCTGCCCCTGCATTACTTGCTGCCCCTCTTCTCCTGTCGCGGAAGGAGGCCGCTCCTGGCGCATCGGCGCCGCTCCGTCCAGCTGCAGTGTTCGGGGATCTGCACGCAGCACTCTCAACACCATCATGAGCTGTTGTCGACGACGAGGGCAACGGTACCGACGACGAAAGCTTGGCGCGCTTGCGTTGCTCCTTCTGCATCCTCTGCTGCTGCTTGAGCTCCATGGGTCGCAACCTGCGCTTGGTGTTGCCTCCGCTGCTAATCCTACCGGCCGCGTTTCCAGCACCCATTGCTGTCTTCTGCTGTCCTTGCTGCGGGTCATTCTTGCTGCTCTCGCTGGACATGAGTCCTGCTGCCAATCGAGAGCCGGCGGCGCAGTTTTCTGTTGCCCTGCTCAACGGTGCCGGGTGTCGCTGCCGCCGGACGTGCTTGGGATCGCCATCGAAGGCCATTGTTGTCGTGGCATCGATTTGTTTGCGCGACGCCCCCTTTCGCTCTTGCGCGTGTTCAACTCGCACGAAACCGAGTGTTTCAATCGACAGATGGAGCGATGGATTGCCCTTACTGCCTGAAAATATCAACCCCTCTCCCGTACTACCCTGTCTCTCTCCGCCTCTCTCTGCCTCTCTTCTCTCGGTGCTTTGCTTTGGTGGCGAAGGCAGAAGCCAGAAACCTAATCTCAAATTCAAAATATTCAGCATGTATACCTGGAGAACGAAATGATTTACCGGAGTCCCCGCTCCGGCTCGAGTTTGTTTTGGTTGAGCAGTCAGGCCAGCCTTCCTTTCACCCATTTGCAGCTGCGGTGGAGGAAAGCTAGCTCGTGAAAGGTACGGTGATATAAGCGTAGTGAATGAATGTAACCAACGCCCGTGTTTATGTGCACCTGCGCAGCCGTTACGTAGAGGTCGTCGTGCTTTCGCCAGCGTGACTTATTTTGTGAAACTTTTTTTTTTTCCCTGCGGAGTGATCACATGTTTCTTCCTTCAGTTCAGGATAGGCTTTTGCTCCATAGGCGATCTTTTTATTTTTTTTCCGGCGTTTCCCTTTTTCTTTGCGGCGAAAAAAATTGGTGATCGGCTTTTTTTTTCGGCGACGTTCGGCGACTGCATATGGCTTCTCGGTGAGTCGTGTTCCATTTTCGGCGATTTTTTTCTGCTGGTATCTTTGGCGATTAACTTCATCTAAGCTACTTTCGCGACGTATGCATGTACTTCAAGTAACAAACGAGCAGGTCGCGAGGCTGGTCGACTGCTGCGGAGATGACCTGTCGGCGATAGGCGAAATAATGTGTCCTTTCCATATTTTTCTACTGCCATGATGCGTGACTCTACACTCTACTGCCATGATGCTTGACACGAAAAGACTACAACTCTAGTNATGTGTCCTTTCCATATTTTTCTACTGCCATGATGCTTGACTCTACACTCTACTGCCATGATGCTTGACATGACAACACTACAACACTACATAACATGCAATACTCCGAACCCTCAGACATCGAACAAATAATGAAATACGACACGATGGACTTCGAAGTTACGAACCGCACCATCACCGCACACCGCACGCCCGCCCTACGTGCGGGAAAAAAACTGTAAATCTCGCACTGACCCACCTACGACGTAAGACATCTACATAATAAATTAACACTGAAACATAGGTCGTCAGTCGCTGTCTTCATCGTTGCTGTCATCGCTTTCTTCGTCGCTACCGCCGCCGTTGTTGGCATCTTCGGCGCCACCCTCCATCTCTGCTGAGCTACTCTGGGCCCGGCCCCTGTTGTACTTGAGCAGTGCTGAAGCGCAAATAAATACGGTCGCTGTACACGTGCTCTTTTCGCTCATTAAAGCAACACCGCAGGATGAAAACACTCATTCCATGAACGCACGGCCAGGCATGTGCCCGCCTCCGTTCGGCCAGGCTGACGACCGCACGGTCCCTCTCGATGCCCTCCTCTCGCTCCGGTGCAGCAGGGTTGTTCGCGATCGCCTCCACCCGCTTCGCACGTTTGTCGGCGGCCCGCTTCTCACTGTTCGTGCGCGCTCTTTTCTTCGATGCGTCTGCCGCCTCTTGGAACCAAGTCATCAGACCGTTTCGTACCTCAAGCGGTATCGATTCTGGACTTTCGGCGGAAGTGGGGCCACCAGCACTACGTTGGAGTGCAGAGGCACTACTACTGTTAGAAGAAGCTGAACCAGCTGCAGAGATCCGTGGTGGAACTCTGGCACGGGCACCGGCAGCAGGTGATGCGGCACCGCCGCTCCCACTACCGCTGCCGCCGCCGCTGCCGCTGTCGCCGCTGCCGCTGCCGCCGCTGCCGGCAGCAGCGGCACTTGTCTTTTGGCCGACAAATTGCACCTCCTTCTCCGAATTCCCTTCGCTTTCACTGCTATTATCCAACCTGGCTTCCATACCGCCAAGAGGCGACGGCATCGCACTGCCGTTCAGCTGTGTAGCCGTGTACAGCGCGTACGTGTCAGCTGTGTGTATGTAGTCTCACCGGGAGACGGGGCACCGTGAATATAATCGGCGACCATCGGCGACTTCACCTTTCGATACGGCGGAGCCCCCTTCAGAATCGGCGATTTTTTTTT